TGTATTTTTCTCTTGGGAGATTTCATTTTGAAGGGCCCTGAAGAATTAAATGTGTTCTGTCTGAAGGCACAACGATAACAAGACATTCCTGGTGTGGGTGAACGAGGAGGACCACCTGCGCGTCATCTCCATGCAGAAAGGTGGCAACATGAAGGAAGTGTTCAACCGCTTCTGTACCGGACTCACCAAGGTTGGTAGGAAATGTGACAGTCAGTTTACAGGAACTGAAAGATGTTTCATTCTTTATTTAGATTTGTACGACGGTTCATTATTAATCTGGTTTTGTGTCTAAGATCGAGAGCCTGTTCAAGGAGAGAAACCATTCATTCATGTGGAACGAGCACCTGGGCTACGTCCTCACCTGCCCATCTAACCTGGGCACCGGCCTGCGTGCAGGTGTGCACGTCAAGCTGCCCAACATAAGCAAACATGCCAAGTTTGAGGAGGTTCTCAAGAGGCTGAGGCTCCAGAAACGTGGAACTGGTATGTAGAAACTTTCTTATTGTAGTTGCTAAACTTTAAATATTTAAATCTCTTTAAAACCTATGTTCATTTACCCTTCCACGCAAAGCTTAATTATTTTGGTCAGTGTGTAAGCGTTTGTCTTGTCACCAACAGGTGGCGTGGACACTGCTGCTGTGGGCGGAGTGTTTGACATCTCAAACGCCGACAGACTCGGCTTCTCTGAGGTGGAGCTGGTGCAGATGGTGGTGGATGGAGTCAAGCTGCTGGTGGAGATGGAGAAGAGGCTGGAGAAGGGCCAGTCCATCGACGACATTATGCCCGCCCAGAAGTAAAACCATCCCGACATCTCCCCTCCTCCTCTCCCTGTACCTTCCCCACCCCCTCTCCCCCCTCCAGTCTGAATGAATGTTTGACTCTGTCCAGGAATGCACTCTGTATTACGGTTTGGATTTGTTAATGTATTTAAGACAAAACTGTTCCCGTTCGGTGAGGATGGATCTGAAATAAAAAATGTTCTCGTTAAGCTTGATCTCTTGGTGGTAAATATTTCAGTTCTGGAAACTGTCATTGAGGCATTTCTAGATTCTGACATCACATGACAGAGCTACACCTGCAGAGCTTCTGCAATCAAAACCTTTACAAGGTTTCAGTGTAGAAATGTAAGAACTGTTTCACTCAGACTTGAGCTGATGAGACGATTCCCTGAATGCAGCGTGTTAGTACAGATGTCAAACGCAGTTTAAACCACAGGATGTTTAACTTTAGGAGACCATGTTTTAGAGTCAAGCCAAAAGCATCACTTCAGTGAGCTGTTGTCTTAAGTTGGACTTAAGCAGTGAGGCAGATGTCAAATACTGGAGCTACACTCAAGATCTTTGACATTAAAGATTAGGTTGAGACCAAATCACTGGGCTTCAAAACTACCTGACCATCCAGGTAACTGTCTAAACCTATTTTCCCAGTAAATTAAACCATGTCATCTACTCCAAATGCTGACTAGGGTCCTGCAGCATGCAAGGCACCACACTTAAAATACTACAGGTACAAACTATTCAGTCCCTTCTGTAATGTAATTCAGGAAGGGAAACTTTCATATTCTAGGTTCATTAAATATTTCAAAGGTGCTAAATCCAGTATATAAAATACTAATTAACTCAACACCTACAAAGGTTTCCTGAGCCTTTGATCTCCCAGTCTGGTTCTGGTGCTCAGTGCACTTTTCCATGAAATCCAAATTTTTTTGAGATGCTCCTGTACTTTCTTTGTGGGATTTGTCTTAGTTCAGTGTCTTAAAATGTAAAGAGGATCTTGGCTGGAGTTAACCAAATAATTACTAACAAGTTAGACTTTATTTCTATAACGTACAAGCCCATATTTCCTAAAGTCTTTTTACTTTTAACCATCCATATTGTCCTTTTTCAAAAAGTTTCACACTGAGCCAAACACTTAAAAACCCTGGAATGAAGCTCCACACCAAAACAACAAAAAGCGAAGCAAACGTTTTATATTTTCATCTCGACTGTATCCGGATACAAATGATCGGGCGTGAGACGGGACGTTCAAGTCGACAGACACTTTAATTTGAGACATGAGTGACCCCTTAACCATGTGGGCATTTTACACGGACTCCCCATCATCTCTACTTTTTAACAAAATACAAAAGGAAAAAAAAACAAACAAGAACAAAATGAGTATTGCAGTGAAGCCGTCTTGAAAGTAAGATACATTATTTACACTGAAAACAAAAACGCTACGTAATTTTTTTTCTTTTTCAAGGAGAAAAAAAACAAACAAAAAAAAAAAACAAGAAATAAATAAGACTAGAAATGTTTTTTTTGTCCACGTTCACAGCATGACAAATCATATTCAACTCGTTAATGTCGACCCCGTGTGGCCAGAATAGACTTAGTATTAGTAGGTAATTCAGTGATTATTGCCAAAAGCCTTAATCTATACATTATAATATTCAATACATACTCTGTATTTTGTTTTTTTAAAAAAGGAGACATTTGGAAACTGCTACTTGGATGATTGTACAGCTTAAATACTTCTAGATATATATATGTATACTTTTAAACCCTTTTGTTCATAGCTTTAACTCGTTGGCAACTTTGGAAGCAATGTTTTTGAAAGCGATGGATGATCCGGATATCCGTTTGAACCTGACGCCGTTGAGGGAGAGACGGGGCAGCTTGCAAACCTCCATCTCCCACTGGACCAGGTTTTCAGCTTGCCCGTCCCCGTGGACGCAAAGAAGCAGGAAACTCTCTTGCTGTTCGTAGTCGCAGTTGTTGGCATCGAGCACCTTGCGAATCTCCCGCATGATATCACAAGGCTCCATGGAGCTGGTGGTCCTCATACTCCAAGTGAATCTGAGGGAGCGGGGTTTACTGTCTTTATTTTCCCCTTTTTGATCCCCAGGTACATGGCGACTGTCGGGGAGGAGAGAAAGAGAACAAAAACAAAACAGAAAAGTTTTAATATAGCAGATTTGGTTCGCTGCTTTTTAAGTCAAAATTTGGATATAAAAGATTCAACCGCCACTTTGACTGTTTCACGAAAAATAATTCAGCTTTTCAGTCTTTGTTCGAATAGATATTTGGTGTTTATCAGTCAAAGCGTCTGGCAGAGCAGACAAACCTACAAGCCACAGACAAGATTTAAAGGAATAGTTGGACATTTTGGTTTTATTTGCTTTCCTGCTGAGAGTTAGAGCACATCGACACCTCTCTCTCGTCTGTAACACTGAAGCTACAGCCGCTTAGCTTAGCTTAGCACAGAGACTGGAAACCGTGAAAACAGCAAAATCCAGTTACTAATTAACATGTTAAAAACAAGAAAAAGATTTTAAAAATGGGATGGTGATGGCGCAATGGATAAGACACATGCCTTTGGTGTGAGAGACCCGGGTTCAATCCCCCACTGTGACCCATCCACCAATGTGTCCCTGAGCAAGACATTTAACCCCTCGTTGCTCCAGAGGCGTGCGACCTCTGACATGTATAGCGATTGTAAGTCACTTTGGATAAAAGTGTCAGCTAAATGAATAACTGTAATGTAATGTCAAAATGACATGTTTAGGTTTTACTGGTTTATTTATAAGCTTCTCTTCTAACTCCAAGCAAGAAAGCGAATAAGCACATTTCCCAAAATGTCTAAAACTATTCCATTAAACATTATTTAGCTTGGTGCTGGTGTTTCGTTTCCACCAGGCTACACTCTAACCCCAGTTTAAGCCTCTCACATTTTATCATTACATTCAAGTCACAGAGCCAAACAACAAACAAATACCCAGTCCTCTTTACAACAACTAAAAAGGTTGTTTCACCACATTTCTGGAATCCTCAGAGTCTTTTAACCATCTGGATGAAAGATTTTTAACCCGTTTCTAACTAATGTGATACTGGTTCCTTTTTTGAGGTATCGGGAAATATCTTACGTCTTTGCTCAATTTGTACGACACAAACCAAAATTAAAAACTATTAACAGTTAAATCTGTCTTTTATTTTTTTAAAGACCGCTTTGTGGCAATTCTTTGTCTTTCGTACTCCAGGATGCTGGAGTTACATGGTCTGGTCCTTAAATCATGTCACCATGATGCCTCACTTTCTTTTCATTTATTTTATCATACAAACAAACTAATTTAATCAAAGCGTGATGGGAAATATTGAACTCAATTCTAGCAGATAAACCAATAAAAAGAAAAGATAAATTTTCAAGGATATTCAAGTAAAAAAAAGGTCTAAACGAACAGTGTGCAGAATTTTTTCCATACTTTTAAGAGTGTAATCACAGTTATTTAGAATATGCTATAAAAGACGGAAACCAAATATCTGAACTTGTTTTGTTACAATATTGCAACACAGAGATTTTACATTAATGTTGTTTAAAATGAACCAGGAGAACAAAAAATGCAGTCGAAACTTTGAAAACGGGTTAAAACATTGTTTCACTCAGCTGAGGGACGAACATTTTATTCATCCAGATGGTTAAAAGAAGTCTTTGCTGATTCTGGAAATACCTTCAGAACACCGTTTTTAAGTTTTTGTAGTTATTTTTAGGACAAATTCCGTGACTGTGAATGTAATGTAAACTGGGGATAGACACATCCATGCTGTATTGACTGCAGGTTTGTTTTGGGAGAGTATTGGGAACATTTTATAGGTTGACAAGGAATATAAATATGCCATGCTAACAAGAGCAGCACACGAGTACAGTGCCATGCAAAAAATAAAATAAAATAAAAACAACAAGCTGCAACACTCAAAAAGCAAAGCTCAAATACAAGACACAGTTTCCAAACACATTCAATCGTCCCGGGAGAAACCAAGCAGAGAGGGTTTGAGACTGCAGACGTGGACAAACTGAAGCCTATACGTTTATAAAAAAAAGAGGGGCAGGCAACCTCACCTTGAGCCCTCAAGTCTCCCGTTTCTCTCAAACTCGGTTGAGACTCTGAGGCGCATGAGAAGATCAGACAGGGAGGAAGAAAAACAAGGAGAAGAAAAAAAACAAAACTTGTGGGTTGTGCACGACAGCAATAACTTCAGATCAATTCCAGTGAATAAAAAAAAAAAAAAGAAGAGAATATGTGACGTGTAATAAGAAGTGACACCGAAGTGAAACGACGACGAGAGCCACCACCGAAAAAAAAAAAACAACCCAACAACAACAACAGAGAATACAAAAAGACACGGAAGATTTTTTTTACTTGAAGAATCATGAGAAGAAAATAAAGACAAGTGATGAATGTTCAGACTGTGACCCCAAACTGAAACCAACAGATTAAAGCAGACATGAAGAAAAACAATCTTTTAAAAACACAAAGCAGGACGGAGAGATGCATCTCATGAACACGTGCAAGTGTGTCGACCCAAAGCAGCAGAACAGCAGCATCAGCTCGAGACTACAGTTTGAAGAGGAAAACTATGGTGCATTTATGTTCTACTTCTTTCCTTCTACTTTCATCCTTAAATTTATTTAAAATCTATATATTGGAACAGAAAATAGATCTTCAGCCGGATCCTTTAATTCCCTTTTTCGTGGGTTTAAAGTATAAATGGGTGATGTGGCTAAAATTAAATTTATTAATAAGCAAAATTATCTTACGAATATGATTAATTGTTGACACTAAAAACTGTATTATGAGAAAAAAAAGAAATCTTAACTCCTTAAGTCCATCTGATGAACTTTCCTCCTAAGTCTTCCTCAGTGGAGTTAAAAAAAAGAAACAACTTAAATTATAATAAGTGTAAAGCTACCTTGATGTTGAATGTGATAAAACGTCATCTTCTGCTACAAATCAACTAAAATGTGAAAAACAAATCCTTAATCTGGGACTCATTTTGTCAGATTTTAATTTAAAAATTTTGCTAAAATTTGATCATATCTTAATATCATTTTGTGAAAAGTCAAGAAAGAATTATCGGCAAACCCTTTTTTAAAAAGCTTTATAATGAGATGTTTTTAAAGACGTCTTTTTTTTGTTTTTTTTTATTGACTTTATATTTGTTAATTGGGGTC